GGTAGATGCTTAGCATGTGAGAGGCCCTGGGTTCAATGTTCACTTGAATGTATGCACACAGAAAATGAGCCAGGCTGCAGCAGTGATCACTGCTGACCACTCTGGTTACTATCACCGTGATGGACTTGAGCCAAAGTGGACCTTTCCCTCTATATGATGCTTTGTTGGGTCTTTTTGTTATAGCAATGGGAAAAGTAACTAAAACTTGTGCTTTTCGGTGCTTCGGAGAAAAAAATCAGCATACTTCTACTTAGCATGTGAAAATGATATAAAACACAAACAAAGCTTTTTGGAACACGACTGCAGCAGTTCAGCGACAGCCGCAGAGCCAGTGGTACCCGCTGACGTCCTGGGAGAAAGCTGCAGGAAGTGCCCACTTTGAAAGCCACAGGCATCCTTCAGGCATGGTCCTGCTTTGATCCCAGACAAAATCTCTGAGAGCTTGAGGCCAGCCGGGCCACAAGAGAGCTACCTTTCTCCATCAACCCTTTCTAAAATAGTAATAATAATTAATTAGTTAAATGGCATTCTATAAAATTGCACCAGCAGATGTTTTGGAGAAGTTGCTGTCTGTGAGAGCTAGAGAAGCCACACATCCTGTAGGGGCTGCATGACGGACCTGCCGCAGGGCATCTTATCTGAATAGGAACAACCCTTTTTCCCTTGCTGAGCCTCTCTAGTGCCCTCTGCTGACATAGCTCCATGTTTACTTGCGCAAACCCGGCCAAAAGGGCGAATTTGGAATCGGTACATTATTTAACAATATGGCTCAGCACTGATGGCTCTTCCTGAGTTAATTCCCAGCAACCACATGCTGGCTCACTAAGGTCTGTAACAAGATTTGGCGCCCTCTTGAGGAAGAGACCTGATCAGTCGTCCTCATCAACTTAGACCATGAAACCCAACACGAACAAGTTCAATAGAACCAACATATACAGGCTGCCCATACGTGCTTCAGCATTGTCAGGTCATAAATTTATTTATCTGTTTTTTAACATTATTTAACCCATTGCTTTCTATTCCAAAGCTACAGCTAAGGTCAACGTGTCTTTATGCATGGCCAGTACATCCTCTGCAAGGCGTCCCATGGTGATATCTGCCACATTCCCCACCCAGAATATTGTCTATACGTCATCTTTGGTGTCTCCTGGCTATTTTCTGCACTTACCAATTCTGAATACTAACGTTTCCAGGATTTGTTTCTCCCGCTGGAGGACTCTATCCATTGCCTTAGTTACCTGCCATTCAACCTAGACAGCAGGTCAACAATCTCCATTTCCTAACCTTCATACTAAGTTCCAAACCGTTTCACAGAACTAGCCTTCAGGGATTCACTTCCTCCCGTCTTCACTTCTGGGATTGGACTCAGGTCTTGCATGTGTTAGTCAGGTGTACCACCTCTGAGCTACATCTGGCCTGTTTCCTCTCAACCGTTTAATGGCAAGTGGGGCCTGGTGACATAGGCAGGTAGCATTTGTGGTATGGAACAAGATGATCCCTGTGAAGTTACAGCCCCTTTGGTATACACTGTAAACTCCAGGACTACCTCCCCTCAAAAACCAAACACTAGCACAAAGCAAAAGCAAGGATCTGTTGGTTGTGTCAACAAGAAGCAAGCCCCAAATTCTCTATAACCTACATTTTTTTTTAAAGTTACTAGACTGTCGTTCTCCATCACAAATACACGTTCCTCTAATTTGTCTTCACTGATCCCTCTGCAATCACTATATTATTCTTTCTCTTGCCTTGTGTAAACAATGGGAAAAGAGGTGGTGTTCAATTTCAAGAAAAATCTCTCATTCCCAGAAAACACATGAATGTTCTTTTCCTTCATTAGCCTATCCTTTGCCCCTAATTTTTCACTTCATATTTTTGCGTGCAGCAATTCACCTGTCTTTGCTTCCAGAGCAATAGGACCACAGGTGTGGGCCATTTGCTCTTGGCTGGTTTGTTTTTCTTTCGGAGAAGGTCTCAAGTTAGGCCCAGACTGTCCTCTAACTAACACCCCTGCCTCAGCCTCTTGAGCGCTAGGCATTTAGGGTTCTCTTAACCCGCACCTGTAACCTCCCAGCCCCCAGTTGATTGAGAAGGTGGTTTGAGAGTTTTCTCCTGCTCCATTCTTGGGTTCTGGTTTTGTTTGTTTTGAAATAGGGTCTCTTGGTGCCCAGGCTGGGCCCAAATTCTACACATAGCTGAGGCTGGCCTTGAACTCCTGCTCCACCTGCGCCTACCCACCAAGTGCTGGGATTATTTCCTGTGTGACCACACCCACCTGCCTTGGTTCGAATAACCAAAAGCAGAAAAGGGTAGACTTTTGTTTTGTTTTGTTTTGTTTTTTTGTTTTTCGAGACAGGGTTTCTTTGTGTAATAAGCTCTGGCTGTCCTGGAACTCAGGCTGGCCTTGGAGATCCACCTGCCTCTGCCTCCTGAGTGCTGAGATAAGTGTGTGCCATTCACTATGCCAGGCTAGGGGCTAGACTATTCTTGTCCAAGTGAAGTCTCCTTCACTGCCCAACTGCCACAGTTTTGTTAGTGATTCCACAGCTTCACAGGGAAAAAACCCCAGGCTTGAATTAGAAATTGGTAACAACTTACAAAGGAGTTTATTAGCCATTAATATATGTATATTATTGGCAAAAAAATGTTAAAACAACCTTTCAGAGTGGACACGTGCCTCTAATCCCAATACTTCAGAAAGTAGGCAAGAGGGCAGGTGTAACTCCTGCATTACTCTCGGTACTGTACCGTTTGCAAGCCGGGCAAGGGCCTGGAGATTGAAAGAACACACAAGAGACCTGGGTCATTCGAAAGGAGACCAGCCGAATGCCATTCATTCAAGTTTAGGAAAATCCTTATTTACCCAGCTTCTGCACAATGGAGAAAGCGGGTGGGAAATTGCCACGCTCAAGGTGGAGTAAACAATGGTACTATAACTAACTACCAGGCAAGACAGAGGGAGCACAGGAACAAATAGGATGTTTAGTTGGCTGGCCAGAAACTGTCCTCAAGATAAACCCTGGGGGCAGGGGTAGACCCACGGGCCCTACAGGCAGGGATTCAAGGTTAGTCTAGGCTATACCTCTATGTTGAGTCTGAGGCTAGCCAATGTTCTTCATTTTATATCTATTAACATCTATCAGAAATGGTAATAAAAAAGTCCCCGAACAAACAGTAACTTTAATCTCAATACATGGGAGGCAGACAGAGACAGGCAAATTCTGTGAGGTCGAGGCCAACCTGATCTCCAGAGCAAGCTCCATGACAGGCTGCAAAGCTACAAAGAGAAACCCTGTCTTAAAAAAATTTAAAAGAAGAAAGAAAGAAGACTAGAAGACTAATTACTTGTGGGGAAACGGAGTAGGCTTTCCTGTGAAGGCATTTGGACTGAGGATTGATGGATGACCAGAAGCTTCCATAAGAAAGGCCAGGAGAGGATGGCTCTAGAGCACGTCAAGTGTGTCTAGGAGCTTCAGGCTGCAGGGGAAGCTAAGCTCATGGCCTCGGATGGGTGTTGGGGAAAGAGGCAAGCTTATTGTCAAGCTCCAGGAAATGTGGCCAGGGAGGTAGTCTGCAGTTAGATCATCTCCGCTTCTGTGTTTTCCAGTGCATATGGGGCCTAATAGTTCTAAATTCAGCTGGCTGTCAGAAAGACACTGGGAAAGAGCCAGGCACGGCGGCTCATGCCTGCAGTCTCACTGCTAGGAAGGTGGAGGCATCAAAACTCCACCATCATTCTCAGCTATATACCGAGCTTGAGGTCATCCTGGGCTACACAAAATCTTGTTAGGAGTCAGGCCATAGAATTCAGCAGGTAGACAGTACCACCTGCCAAAACGAAAACAAAGACCTAATCCATCCAAGTCTGGAGTTCTGGGAAAATCTCTAAATGTACTAACCTTGCTTTTTGGCTGCTGTAGTTTCACTTCTTCTTAACTGTTCTTGTTAACTGAAGCATGTCAAGCCAGGACATGGTTTTTGTGCTTAAAAGCTCACCCTGAGAAAGGCTCCGCTACACTGGGATCCTGAACACCCAGTGTAGTCAACAGTTAGCAAATAAAGACCTTCTATTGACTTAAACCCATGTCAAGTAGTCTTCTCTGTTGGGTACCCCATCCCAGGTCTAGGGATGGAATTTAGGTCATCAGGCTTGGTACAAGAAACTTTACCCAGAGCCGTTTCAATGGCCCTCAGGAAGTTTCACAGAAACAGAACAAAGAAAGTTATAAATCAAAGCATTTTCCCAATGTATTGGTTAAACATCAAGTAGGCAAGTTACAGCAGAGGGGCGGCAGAGAGGGGGTGGTGCTCTTACAGGGCCTTAGATCTTCTGGGATGACAGTTTTAGTCTCGAGTCAGTAGAAACTAGGGGGTCTGTACATTTTACAAAGTCTTTACCTGACAGTCACAAGGCTGTAAACACAGAAGTGGGCATTAAACAGTTCTCTAGGAGACCAAGATTAGCCCAGGATGATTAGGCTGGACCTGCAACAGTTCAGCCGTCTGCAATCACTTACGTCTTGATCGGCTGATTAGCCCTGTAGAATATTTATAACACTGCAGGGGGTTCCACTGAAAGACCCTCAGAGTGGGGAGACTCTCACTCAAGTCTTGGGGATAACACGACTCCCCAGGAACTCACGAGAGACTGTCCTTGGTGCAATCACACGAGGTTTATTGACAGGACAGGAACCAGCTGGGGCCAAAACTCATTTCCCACGCAGGGGTCAGAGGAGTTCGACCCCCGAGTAGCTGGGAGAGGGGATATTAGGGGAAGAAACCATAACCCAAAGGAGGTAGGGAGGGCGTCATTGGAAAATTCCGAAAATACCAGTGATCATTGGAAAATTCCGAAAATACCAGTGATCATTACAAGGGGGGTAACTCCCCGTTTCTCAAGATTATAATCTAACTTTATCTTCAGCTAGTTCCTGGAACAGTCACTTAACCAGCTAACCTAGATTTTTGGCTCTTCTCTCCCTGCTAGATTCTTTTTGGCTCTATTCTTTCTGCTAGAGGGGTCTGGATTTATCCGGGTCTTTCACTCCCTCTAAGCGATAATTTACAGTCTGGGGAGCTCAGACCGGCAGCTGACTGTGTATCCACAGATGGTACTGAGTTGAGGTTCTCACCTTGAACTTTAGTTCCTCCTACTCCCACCTCCTCAGAGCTGGGCTTTCAGGCATGGGTCACTACGCTTGCTTTCAAGGTAGAGTTTCTCCTTTAAATTAAAAAAAAAAAAATTATTGCTTATGTAACACCCCTCCCCCCGAGAATCTGGAGTGAGCTGCATGGGTGCTGGGGACTGAACTCAGGTAGGCAACTGTAAAAGCACTAGGAGGTTGAGAAACTGCTCAGCCATCTCTCCAGTGCTCCAGTGTCACCTTGTTGTTGTTGTGTGTTCAGGGTTTCTCTGTGTAGCTCTGGCTGACCTGGAATTCGTTCGTATTCGTTAGATCAGGCTGACTTCGAACTCTGAGATTCGCCTGCCTCTACCTCCTGAGTTCTGGGATTAAGGGTTTTTGCCACCTCACCTGGCTTCCAAAAATAAATTAGTTAACGGACGTATAAAATGAGAAACTGCGTTAGTGGGAGGTTGTCGTGGATAACCCTGAAATCTTATTTATTTATTTATTTATTTATTTATTTATTTATTTATCCCTTTTGTGTAACAACAGCTTTAGCTGTCCTGGAACTGGCTCTTTAGAACAGGCTGGCCTCGAACTCATAGAGCTCTATCTGCCTCTGGCTCCTGGGTCCTGAGATTAAAGCCGTGTGCCACTACCACCTGGTCACCCTGAAATCTTAAGGTAGGCAGTTTGCCGAAAAAGGAAAAAGTACTGTGTCTTGTTACATATTCAAGACCGGGTTGAGGAGAAAGAGTAGCTGTTCTTTGTTTACAAGTTCTTTGTTGTTTCCTTCCCACGTTTCCGGTCACTCGATGACCCCGCCCACCCAAGTCCCCCACCCACCTGGGCACCTGCTGTGCAGACCTGAAAGCATAGCTGCAGGAGGAGGTTTAAGGATGCCCGCCTGCAAGGCTGCAAGTCCCAGGTCTAGCGAGCGTGCGCAGGAGCTAGAGTCTGAGAGAACGCGGGAAGCTGAGGCCTCGTTCGCTTATGATTGGCTATCGCGGTAGAGTCCCACCTACCTGGCCCAGTGCTGCATGTTGATTGGACGAATTCCACCGGTGGGGGGTGGGGGTCCGCTGTGGCCTTGCGGCGTGGGAGGGGAGGCGGGAATCGACCCGGCGGGCGCAGGGTCGCGCTGTTTCTCCTGGGGTTGTGTGCAGGAGTTCGGAAATGGCGGTGCAGCCTAAGGAGACGCTGCAGTTGGAGGGCCCGGCAGAGGTGGGCTTCGTGCGCTTCTTCGAGGGCATGCCGGAGAAGCCGAGCACCACGGTGCGCCTATTCGACCGCGGCGACTTCTACACGGCGCACGGCGAGGACGCGCTGCTGGCGGCCCGCGAGGTGTTCAAGACCCAGGGCGTGATCAAGTACATGGGTCCGGCAGGTGAGGGAGGGTAGCGGCGGCGACTCACCGGCTCGGGGCGGGAACGCGGCGGGCACCTTTGCAGCGCCGAGACCCGGGGCCGGAAACCTGCGCGCATCCTGCAAACGGCGGGACAACAGCGGCGCTGCTCCCCCAGCGCGCGAGAGGTGGCTCCCGGGGCCTCGCGTTTAGTGTGTTGTTCCGATCCGTCCTCCCATAGCGGGTGGCAAGCTGGCTAGGCCCGGTCGAGCACATGATCAAACACCGCCTGGTCCAGGCTGTCCTCGAACTCCTGACCCCTCGTGTTTCAGCTTCCAGAGTTGCTAGGATTAAAGTCGTGTCCCTCCATGCTTAGCTTTTAATCTTTTACTGCAGTCAGCGGCCTAGGAGGGAGGAGTAGTGGGCTCCTTGGGAGATTCCTTTTCATTACTCTCATTTTGCCAACATAACTTACTATTTTTTTACCGTCCCGCTTGAGACCTTGCGATGGACCATTGTTGAAGGGTTGTATTGCTAAGTGGCCAGTACCGGGGCCGGGGGGGGGGGGGTCTGTCTTGGAGCTGAACTGCCCCGATTTCAGTTACAGCTCCCTCACGCCACCACTGTTTGTTGTGTGGTGTTGGACCTGTTGGAAAGCTACATTGCTCATTGTTTTCTTTCACCTGACTCTGCCCCCTAGCATCGTCCGTCTCTAAAACAGTTGCAGACCTCATTTGCAGGCTAAGTAGATAATCTATCTACTCCCCCCGCCCCATTGCTCTTTCTTTTAGTTGTAATGAAAGAGCCTTCTAGGACACTTTGGAATTGTGAGTTCTAATTCTTAAGCTGTCATATGCAAACGACGTGACAGAAAAAGATAGCCTTCTACTTCTACCTGGCCAGTGCTGGGTGTGTAGTCTGGTGTCACCACACCCAGTTGTATTTGTTTTTTAGACAGCTATTCCTTACCTTGAGTTAAAGAGTGACACACACACACACACACACACACACACACACACACACACTCCTGTGTCCATTAGTTACTTGTTTCTGCCACAGTCTTCCTAGCCCTTGCCACTAGTTTATTCTGTCTAAATATGTTTATTCTGGGATGTAACATGGAAATTAAGTCATATTTTGTCTTTTTTTTTTCAAGGCTCTTCCATGTTGTCTTTATTTCATTTCTTTTAGTGGCTAAATAATTGTGTGGATTTCCCACGTTTTATTGAGCTCTTTGTTCATGGGAATTTGTTTCGTTTTGGCTTTTGTGAGATGCGTTCTCACTATTTAGTCTTGGCTGGCCTGGAACCCAGTGGTTTCTCAGGTTGTCTGTAAACTTCACACTGCCTCTGCCTCCCGGAGCACTGGGAGGCATTCACCACCACACTCAACTGGGCATGTTTCTGGAACTTCTACTTTCATTCGCGTGTGTGCCCATTCTTCCCAGCAATGCAGCAGAAAAGTAAGTCAGCTTTTTGCAGCGTTCTGGATCCTATCCCATGGGCTCAGAAAGGTTTCTACTGGTTTTTCATATTCCTCTGGAGCCTGTATCTGGCATTTATTTATTGACATTTTACCTGCTTAATTGTCATCATGTAATGATCCATTAGTATAAAACCCTGTGGTTGGGGAAGAGTCTAGTACACCAGCCCTCACAAGTTCAAATGCTGGAATTCCGTATGTGCATCATCACAATACCCGGTTCAAATCTTTTTTTTTTTTTTTAATCGAACTCCTGGCAATTGAATGCAAGTGGGGTTCTAAATTATTTTCAAGAGAATCTTGTACGAATTTGAGTGTATTCCTTTTGGGTAGAACATGGGAAGTTTTCAGTTCTGCTCATTTGTTTCATGGTAGAAAAATCAGCCCTGTTCCCTATAGAGGTGGGTCTTCAAGAACAGAATACACAGAGACAAGCCCTTCAGATGCTGGCCAGCAGCTGTGCACTGCAGGTCAGGGGTGTGCACTGCAGGTCAGTGTGTCACACGAACTTCACCTTCTAGAGAAATGGCATCTTCAGTGGACATCCAGCTAACGTTTTGTGAGATATGATCTCTGGCATAGCACAGGATGGTCTCTGTCTTCAGCCTGCTGCCTTAGCATCCTGGTGTGCAGCACCTTGCCTAGGAAGTCTGTGTATCTCTGTGATGCTACGATTAGAAGAGGGGGCCACCCCGTTTACCTCTTCACTCCCATTCATTAGAAATCAACACACTTAACAGTGAGTTCAGCTCCTGTGAAAAGACCAAGAAACAATTCTCTGGGTTCTAGCTAGTGACTGGTAGATGCCAATTGCTGTGCACAGTAGTTAGACATAAAAGCAGAGAGGCTGGGCGAGGTAGCCCACATTTTCAATCCCAGCATGGGAACAGGTGGATCTCTATGAGATCAAGGCCAGCCTGGTCTATAGACAGCCAGAGGGACATAAAGAGACCCTGTCTCAAACAAAACAACAAAAACATCAGCTATAAAAAAGAACAGAGGGGCTTGTACGTCTGGAGAGAACTTCATGAAGCGATGAGCCTTCGTTGCAGGGCCTCAAGAGCCCTGACCACATTGGGCAGTGGTGGCGCAAACCTTTAATCTCAGTACCTAGGAGGCAGAGGTAGGCGGATCTTAGTGAGTTTGAGGCCATCTTGGTCTACAGAGTGAGTTCCAGGACAGCCAGGACTGTTACAGAGAAACCCTGTCTGGAAAAAACAAACAAACAACAAACAAAAAGAGTTCTGGCACATGCTTGTGGATTGGTTTCACAGCCGTCCCAGAATTAAAACAACCATTTGTTTCTTGTAATATTTTTGCCAAGTTACGCTTTGCATTTTATTGTCTAAATTGAAAGCTGATAATTTAAAATTTTTATTTATTTATTTATGTTGGCTTTTTGAGACAGGGTTTCTCTATGTAGCTTTGGAGCCTATCCTGGAACTAGCTCTGTAGACCAGGCTGGCCTCGAACTCAACAGAGATTTGCCTGTCTCTGCCTCCCGTGCTGGGATTAAAGGCGTGCACCACCAATGCCCGGCAATTTTTAAAATTTTATATTTTTTTTTTGCTTTGCTTTTGAGACCGTATGTAGCCCTGGCTGGTCTGGAACTTAGCGTGATCACACAGTGGTCCACCTGCCTGTTTCTCCAGTACTAAGATTATAGGATTCGCTACCAGACTGACTTCTTAAACATTGAGTTACTTGATTTTTATATGTATGTGTTGTGTCTGCATGTCTGTCTTGTCTGTGCACATGTGCATGCCTGGTGCCTGTGGAACCCAGAAGAGGGTACAGATTTCCTGGAACTGGAGTTACAGATAGTAAGCATCCATGTGGGTGCTGGGAAAATTAAGTTTTTATTTTATTGGATGGTGATTTTATTTTTTATTTATGTACTCGAATGTGTGTGTGTGTGTGTGTGTGTGTGTAGTATAGTATTTTAAGACATATACATAAAGACATATTTATACATAAAGTGTATGGGTATTTTGCCTGCATACTTGTCTGTATACCACGAGTGTACAGTGCCTGAGGAGACTAGGAGAAGGTGGACCTGGAGTTGCAGATGGTAGTTATCTGTGGGTGCTGGGAACCCAACCCAAGTCCTCTGGAAGAGCAGCCAGTGCTTTTAACCACCAAGCCATCTCTCCAGATCTCACCCCTTTACAATTGTATTTTATGTGTATGGGTGTTTTCCTTGTATGTGTTGTGTGTATACAGTTTGTGTGCCTCATGACAGTTGAGGTGTTGGATCCCCTGGAATTGGAGTTCCAGTCAGTTGTGAGCTATTATCCATATAGTGTCGGGAACTGAGCAGTAGGTGCTCTTAAACTCTGGGCCATCTCTTCAGCCCCAGATTTTATTTATGAAGTTCTTGGTATTTGCAGATCAGAATTAAGCTTGAAATGCTTATTTTCCATCTAAGACAGGTCCCAACCTTGGCACTGTTTATATTTTGGAGAGTGAATAATTCATTATTGTGATGGCTCTTCCGTGCTGTTCATAGTAACAGCTTGCCTGCTTCTGTCACTAGATCTCAAAGTGTGCTGCTTCCTTGTGACAATTTATGTGCCTCCTTGTGTTGTTATATGTTCCCCCGGAGGAGCAGAATTACTCCCAGTTGAGATACTGATGAGAAAGTTTGAAAACTTTTTAAAAAATTTATGTGTGTGGCTATTTTGTCTGCATGCATGTGTACCATCTGTGTGCCTGACTCCTACAGAGGCCAGAAGAGGGCACCCGATCCCCTAAGACCAGAGTTATAGATGGTTGAGCCACCATATGGGTGCTGGGATTTTAATTTGGGTTCTCTGGAAGAACAGCCAGTGTTCTTAACCACTGCGCCATCTCTCCAGCCCTCGAAAACTCATGTTTGTTATTTTGAGACCGAGTCTTCAGTGCGAAGCCTAGCCTGGATCTGGAACTATATAGACCAAGTTGACTTTGCACTCACAGAGGTCTTGCCTGTTTTTGCTTTGAGTGCTGAGATTAATGGTATGTGCCACACCCAGCCCTCTGAGAATTCTGTGTTGATTGTAGGAAAATAGATTACTCATAACCAAAAGATGCGGATAGCCTGGCAGTTTATTATAATCATAAACGTGATAAAATTGGATTTTAGAACTTTATCCTGTTTTATTTGATAAAAGTTTATCACATTCAACCCATTGGAAGCCTGAAGCATT